GCTGGGGCTGTTTTTTCGAAAAAAGTGGCAAGAAAGACCCCCCTTCCACGTGCCCCTTTTCTTGCGGCGCGCCCGCGAGCTCAAGTGTGGAGGTGAGGCTTGGTTGTGAAAAACTCTAACGAAGGGCACCAAGGCTTTCTGGGGGAGTCTCATGTCGGCCAGCACTGCCATGGACTCGTTCAAATATATTCGGGCAGTTTTGGCAGCTTGCCACCTTCCAGCTACCATCAACTTATCGAACGATGCGTGCTTGCCGAACCAAAAGGTGGCCCCCCCCCCCTACGCAGGGAGTAGGGTCTAAACTCAAAAAGAGTCAGTTGTAAAGCCTGCAGGCATTCAGTAAACAGCCTACGCCAAGCTGAGACCGAGGGGACAAAAAGTGCCTGTGGCTTGACGCTCTGCTTCCAGGCCCATAGCCACCTAAGGGCTACCGCAACATTCAGTGTGACTGACTCGGACACTCCGACACGCTTTCCACTCTTAGTTAGACCAAGGCTAAGGACAGCAGGAGCTGTTTCGGCTTTCATGAAAATGTGCGAGCATCGTAAGCTGGTCAGTTCACCTGTGCGCAACATCCCGTAGAATCCCACCAGGAGGGAGACGCCGAATCCAAAATGCCCATGGAAAAAGCTCCAGCCGACCATCGCCTCAAGCGCGGTCTCTGTAAGCGGCGGTGCCCTGTTTGGGACCTCATTGACGTTCCACGTCTTTAAAAGTCTCCAGGTCAGTTGGAGTTGTCCTTTCAGCTTCGGATCCGCGTCTTGCATTCCCGCTACAGTATCTGCTGCCAGGCCACGTCCCTCTCCCTCCGACCACAGATGTTCTATGTATTCGGCCAGGAGGCTGTCAAAATGCTCCCGTCTGCTGGGGATTTCGAGGGAGTTTTCACGGAGGAAATTGTAAAACGTGGTACGTGCGGCAATGTATCGACTACTAGTTTTGTTGGAAACTGTAAGACTTCGAAGTGTGCCTAACTCTCGCCTCTGGGCTTGTCTTTGCTGCTTCGTCTGACCCTCAAGAACACGCTTGCCTACTTTCCCCATATCCCCAAAGGGGATGAAGGTCAGCCGCTAGCAGCAGTGCATTCAGCCTCATCAGGGTCGGTCTCAACTTGCGGCTGGAGCTCCGACCTCGAGTAAGGGCATGGAGGCACACCAAACTGTCCGTGAGATGAAGGAACCTCACTCCCAATTTTTTGGACCTGCTCACTTTCCATTTGATACCAGTAAATATTGCACGCAACTCCAGGAGGTTTATATGCTCTCCCGCCAACTTCCACTTCCAACCTGAAATCTCTCTCCAATGCCACAATCGGCCAGGGACGCTTGCCCGCAGACGGAAGTAGCGGGGGGCCGGGTTGCTCACTGCATGTACCAACAGGTCTTCTCCTTTGGTGGAGGCCAGTCCCAAACACTTTGTGACCAAGCGTTCCTCGGCACCGAGTTCTGCCGCTCCTAGACGCCCGGGATGAGGTGGCCTAATCAACATGGAAGGAAAGTCACGAGCCTTGCCTGGGGTTGTGGCGTCAACGATGTCCTGCAACGACATGTTTCGGGCAATACCTAATCTCTGAGTCAGCTGCCCCAGAAGCCAAGCAACGACGCCCACGTGCCAGCTGTTGCCAATCATCGACATACGAGCGTCTTCATAGCCTGGGCCTTGCTGTTCTGCTTTGACAACGCAAAGTTTAGTATAACCAATAGGAAAACCCATGCATGCCTCCCTTTCTTGAGCCGATGGCCTCCGCCACTCGCCTCTTTTACTCCAGAGGCCATTGGTGTCTCGATATTGGTAGGGTGGGAACCTATAGTAGTCGTCATACCAACGTTGCAGCTCGTGCTCCATGCAATGTTCCTCTCCCGCTGGTCTCCTGCCAGGAGTGTTGCGTGGTCGTGACGTGGTGAAGGTTGGCAAGTGACAACCCTCTTGCAAGCTCCAACCTGGCAACAAAGCGGCTTTGCTGTCAACCTGAGCCTCGAGCTGGACCCTGTCATAGGCCTCCCACCCCTCTTCATCTCCCCTCTGCCAGGAGACTCCTTCTTCGCTGCCACACTCCCATGAAGTCCAGTACAAGCGTGGCCTAGCACACAGTGACATTCCTTTGGCATCAATACGAAGAGGGGTTCGTTGGAAAGCCTCACTCATGATCGCCCTGTCGGAAGTTGACATGGACGCGACATTCTCAATGATCTCGCGCACCTGGGCCCAATAGAATTCCCGCCGAAAGATCTCGGTGATCCTGGGGATTTCCTGGAATAGGCGACTCCGCTCGTCCCGGAGTGCCCCCAGACGGTCAGCGTTTAGCCCACTGACTCCTTGGCACGGCGCCGCGCCCACAATGATGAGTCCGACATTGCTGTGCTTCAATGCCAATGCTCGGATGTCCTCCTCCCCGAATTCGCTCACATCTTCAAAAAAACTCGGTGTCCGGGAAGAAGCTCTCGACAACTCTCTTGCATTTCTCGTCCTTCTCAATGCTGACATGCCCAGCCATAGGCAGGCCCAGGACGTCGCACGCAACCCGGAGTGCTGCGATCCCGTCAAATAAGCCTACAGACAACACTTGCACCAAGTCATGCTCCTCCGGAAGGTCGCCCCTCACCGGGCAGCTCACCTGTGCAAGTGGAGTCAACAAAATAAACCTGGCGATTTCGATCTTGACCTGATAGGGCAAGCTCAGGCGTACAACAGGCGCTTCACCCTCAAAGCGCTTCATGTGCTCAAAGACTGCGTTGAGGCTACCCAACAGTTGACGACGAAACATGGCCAGGTAGACAAAGCCCCCGCATACCACCTGGAGTTCACGCAGTGTCGACTGCCCCCTCACCAGGAGCTCAAACCCCAGTTTGCAGTACTGGACTACTTTCTGTGGCTTGGGCATGGCGTAGCCAGCTTCCCCATCCAGGAGAGCCCCTTGCAGCTCTCCCAGCGTTACCCTCTCAGCAGCTTTCTTGGGATGCCGGGGTAAACCTTGTTCACGGTACATGTCACGCAACTTCTCCACCTGTGGCTTCACTGTACCCTTTATCTGCCCCGCCAAATCGGCATCAACCCGTTCCAGGGCATCAAAATTATCCAAGTATATCCGATACATATCAGCGGCTGAGGTCATGGCCCGGTCCTTGCGAAGCTCCCCTTCCGCACCAATCGGAGGTGTCCCTGATAGCGCCGCCCAACGAACCACGTTGCGATGGACATGTTGAGCAATGCTGACCGAGTTCAGAAACCCCATGGGCAACACCCGAGCAACCAGTACACATGGTTGGCCTTCAAACTCCTTTGGAACCAGGTCTGCTGGGGCAGCTTTGTTGAACCCCATGTACTTCTTCCATTGCATAGGGATAGAAAACAAATAAAAGAAACACTTGATGTCTTCTGAGGATAGGAGGGCAACTTCCCCCGATCCCAGGAGAAAACCACTAAGGCCTGAGACCGCAGGGAGGGTCCCCACGTCGCCTTGAAGTGGTTTGCATAGCTGGTTGACTGGCACCAGATTCATAATTAGACGTTGTGTTTCAATGCCTGACTTGTATTCGCCCCACTGCGAACATTCCGTTGAGCAATGGTTCCCCTCCAATGTGGTGGAGTTGAGAGACAGGCCAAACTTCGCAAACCCGTTTTTCAATCAACCCATTGCAAACGTTGTGCCACTCCCCCTCACTGATCATGACCCTAGGCGGTTTGACCCGGACCTGCATGTCCTCAGGTAATAAATACCTCTCAAACTCTTCAACATACCCCTTCGTCCCTAAAGTGCAAAAGTCCGCGAGCGGCAGACTCCCTACGCCTTCCGGGAGTGATTCACTCACAGCTGCCCATGTTACACTCTGGGCCACCTTCACTTCTTCCCCACAATAATCAACCTTGCGCCTCATGAAAAACTCACTAAAAGACAAAGTACAATCCGGAACCTCCCACATACGATTGCGAACGATGAGCGCCACCAGCCTTTTTTCAGCAAGCGAACGGACTGAAGTCTCAGGAGACGTCGCTGAAGTAGCCACCTCGTCCGGCGATGAGCTTTGAGTGCACTCATATCCAGCCAAATGATTGAGAGCCGTCAAAGTTCCATTCACCAGGGCGTCAAACCTGGGCAGGTGAGTGAAGCCCAGTCTGGAACCCCAGCCTTCCTGCCGAATCCGTAGCGGAAACAGTGGACAGCGTGGTCCCTGACTGGACTCCGTGTTGGAGCGTCGTGATACTAGGTGCTTGTCGGTCCGCAACACCTCAACTGCCCTTGTGAAAATAGCGGCCATAGTGGAGCTAGGCTTGGACGGCCCATTGCCCAGCCCTGTCTCCTGTCCGGGAGAAATATTTGCTGTATGGTCCAACGGTTCACCATCATTCAGCGTAGCCGTCTTTCCAGAACTATTGAATTCATCACCAGTCCCGCCAATACCAGCGCTATGACCAGTGGCCTTCATGCAAAAGTCCACCTCATAGTCCCTGGGAGCCTCTACCGGGGGAGCTGTTACGCCCCCCCGCGCTCCCCCGTCAACTCCATACCTCATGTCTTCTTTTTCCGTCCCCCTTCTCCTTCTTGTTCTTGTCGACCTCGGTGGACTTGTGGTCGCCCTTGCTGCCTTTCCACTTTCCCTTCTCGCCTTTGTCCTTGCCCTTCGATCTCTCCTCCCAAGGCCTGTTCATCGACTTGTGAAGGACCTTGGCCTCGTGATGGGCTGCCTGCCCTGCCATGTGAACTTCGGTTGACGATGCCAGACCCCCACGATCCAGGGGTAGCAACTCGAGCTGGCGAAGCAAATCTGGGCGCATTGACTTGCTCAGCCCCTCTAAACTCTTCAGGCGTTGCGTCATCACGTCCATGGCGCTGGCAACTCTTCCCTCCAATAATAAATCCAGGACTGCTGACCAATGCAATGCTTCGCGAGCCACTGGAGCTGCCATGCTGGCCATCAGGTGCTGCCTGCAGTATTGGGTTACCAGAGGGCGGATGTTGCGACCCTCCGCTTCGCGCAATCCCGCGCCCAATTGTAACATCATGACCTTTTGTGCCTCTACGAGCATCGTCGCGGTCAGGACGCCCGGATATTTGCGCCAGATGCGCTGGGGCGCTGATAGTGGAGTGAACAGCTCCTCGTACTGGCCATCCTCCTCCGTCGAACTCCCGCTGGAAGAGCTGCTGGAGCTGGAGCCTGTTGAGCTCTTCCGACTTCGTGCCCGTCTGCCTAGGCGTTTTGCCTTCTTCCGGAGCTTGCGGCGGACATCTTCTTTCGGATCTAGGCCAGTTGTGGCGAAAAGGGCCTCCAGGCTCTTGACAGGCGTCATACGCTCCTTGGCCTTTTTCTTCTTCTTCTTTTTCTTTTTTGCTGCAACCTCCTTCTTGTCTTCGGGCGACTCCCGATCCGCCTCCTCCGCGGTCGTCCCAGGAGCCTTCAGTCCTGCACCTATGCCCTTGCCCCGCTCTGCGGCCTCCCGCCGAATGACTGCCATCTCGTCTCTCTCCGCCTCTCGGACACTGACTTCGGCGTTTCGGCTCCAAGGGTAGTCCTCGTAGTTGCAACGTTTGAGCCGCTGTGCATGAATCAGGCCCTCCTTCCAAGTCAGGTGACTGCATGGATCGTCGCATAGGTGGACTTGTAGTAGCTTTGAAGCCTTTCCCGAGAGCACTCTCAGGATTTCCTCCGAGGTCGTGCCATGGGCCTTGAAGCTCAACAACGTCCCTTCGTCCCCGATCTCCAGGGACTTGACCTCTCCGATCACCTCTGCATTGTTGTCCCAATACAGGCCCTGTATGTAGACTGCTGGCCAGGAGTTCAGCTCCCGAATATTGACCTCCGAGGCCTTCTCCCAGTCCACGTCGTCCAGGTCCCTCATGGCAGGTCGGGGTCTCACCCGTGCTCTCCTCGGTTCGGCGGCGGGCCGCCTCATTGCCCGCTTCGGCGCCATGTGGGATCACGGCGCTTGTTCTCGTAGAACTCGATGTTCCTCCAGGTCTTCTTGATGCCCCGGTTCTTCTTTTTGGGTTTGGACTTCTTCCCCTTCTTTCCTTTGAATCCCTTGCCGCGGCCTTTTCCTTTGCCTTTCGCTGGAGGGGAGTCCGGCTCCGGCGCCTCCAGCTGGGGTTCCTCCTCGGGGAGCTCGACCTCCTCTTCGGACTCCTCGGCTGCGGGAAGGGCGTGAGGGGTCTCTTCACACGGTGGGGGGGTCGCCACCTCCAGAGAGGTTCCCTTGAACCTCTCGTATGGGCCTCTGGTGTCGCCCTGGCTTGAGGACTGATCCTCTGGTGTATGGACGCTTGGCAGGCTCCTCGATGGCGTCCTGGGCCTCCGGGTGCTGGGGGCTGCCTTGGGGTGAAGCTCCTGTGAGTCTGAGCGGTCTCGTCGCCTTCGCCTCGAACGCCCTCGCCGCTTTCTGCGCTTTGCGGCGTCTTCCTCGTCGTAACCCCCCCGCCGGGCGGCCGGGGGAGCGGTGGCAACCGCTTTCCTTTGGGCACTGGTTTCTCCTCCTCTTCAACCTCAATATCGGGCCTCGAACTCGCTGATGTAGCACCCTCCCCGTCGACCGCTTCAGGTGTAACGGGCCTGGCTTGTAGAGGGCGCTTCTCTTTCTTTCGGCCACCGGCCTCTGAGGATTCACCCTCCTCTTCTTTTTTCACTCCCGTCTGACCAGGAGCGGCCTTTGCAGGCACCGGATCACTGCCAGCTCCTCCAACTCCTGCCGACTCTGTTGTCGGCCCGGGAGGTGGTGGGCCTCCGGGCCTCACCTCTCCGGATGGGGCAGCTCCTCCTTCGCCTGGAGCAGCCGAGCCCCGCAGGTCCAGGGCGATCTCAAGAAGCTGAGTGTAGAGGCCCTCGAAGTAAGGCTGGCACCGATCGCGTAGTAGTGAAGTCGAGTTGGCTCCAAATACGAGGGTAACCACCTTGCGGAACGTTCTGCAGAGCCTGCAGTCGCAATCCGCGGGTGGATGCGGCCCTCCCGGTCCGGGAGGGCCCCCTTGCATAGCTGAAGCCAAACACACTGCGGATGAAAGAGAATTTGGGTCCGTTTCGTTTTTACATCCGTGAACGTAACCCATGGTATGAGTATGGTAGGGTTTTGGGCCGGAAGGTGGAAAGGCTTGGGAAGAGAGGTCGGGAGGGTCAGACCCGTCTTTTTGGGTGAGCGGTGGCAGGCTTGGTGAGTGCCGCTGTTGGTCATGAGTCATGATCATGCCAGGCTTGGTGGATCCAGATAAGCCCCCCTGTTGGATCCTGTTGTTCCTCTCTTCTTTTAGGCTGGTTCACTGGTTCACTGTCAGTTGTGAATCGTTGCTAGCTAGCCTGCAGAGATCTGTTGAGGCCCTGGCTTCCCCCAAGTGGGCTACACGGGAGAATTCCACATCTACGGGAGCTCTCCTACTCGCCAGTCTGCCCAGCTGCGCTATTTCTCCCTCCTTGTGACGTACCCGACACCGCCGCATGGAAAAACACCTGTCACAAACACACCGTGGCTGTTTGGACGGTTGTTTTTTTTCCATCCGCATGCAGGGCCTGCGTTTCGTTTTGAAACCGCGCGCGAGGGCGGACGACGCATCGTAGACGCAAACACCGCTCCCTTGAGCGATATGTCAAGATGTAGTGCTGGGAAGTGATCCCGGAGATGGTGAACCTGGCAGGGCTTGCGAAGAGGGGAGCGGCCCCACTGATGGTGTGGTGAAGGTTGGAGTGTCATATTTGAGAATGGCGGACAGAACACTATTTGCTTAGCACAGTGTCTAAATCTAAAAGGGTTGCACAACAACAGCTCAGTTCTTTGTAGTCTTGTGACGAAACTGGAACAAGAAATTCACACTGTACATTCAGTTCAGCCGGCCCTAGGCCTGAGGTGAAACTATGGGCCTCCTGGTCATCATGAGTAGGAAGTGAGAAGTCTGTGAAGATTGCCACTGATTTTCTCAAATATTCATCCGCTGGAAGATCACATCAATACTATGGAGGTAACTCGGGTCCTGAGTGGCTTAATCTACTTTCCATCAACGACTCAATCACAGCTGCGGCAAAACCTAGCTGCAAAACAACAAATATCAACATAGTACAATCCAGCACATCCTGGCCTAGGTAATGATGCCCAAGGGGGACTGATCATGTGCAGTGAGTTCTACCAGGTCAACGGGTTTCCATCGATCAATCTGTGTTAGAACTTCAATCTTTGGAGGTGGCTCCAAAAGAATACCCAGAGACCCGCTCGTTCATATCATCATTAGTACCATTGGTCCTATTTTTCTTTTACTTTATATACTAGTTAGGAATCACAGTGACAAGCATCACTATTCACCCCCCTCCATACCCGGTACCACATGTGAATAAAGGGGTGTATATGGTTTATGGAAATACCCGCTCAAATTCCAATTGTGCGCTCTGATGTTACCTCCTCCCATCTTCCATGCGATCACCACCATCTCCGTCGCTGGGGACGCACCGCGGACGCACCGCGGACGCACCGCGGACGCACCGTCCGCCGGTGAGCAGCAATTGGCTCCGGCCGCCGTCAGCCGTGCCCTGCACCCAAACGAAGGCTTGGGGAAAGCGCCGACCGTAGTTCATCTCCTGAAAGGAAAGATCTATGGCCGCATTGGAATCATTTTGCATGTGAGATTGGCCCAAGCAGCTTGATATGGCTTGAGACTTTTGATATTTTGGGATGGGAGATATTCTGTGGGAGATTTTGCACTTGGATCTATGATCTTAAGAGACCAAATCCACTAAGAATACTAATTACAAGACTACAGGACAACTTACAGACAATATATCCACTGACACAGTCCACACCACCTCCTTAAAAAATGTCTGCGCTTATCTTCCAAAGCTGTACCGAAGTAGAATATGGCAATATGAAAGATCCGCTATCATTTGGCTGTCAGTTCATCTGGGTTCACTGCGAAATGCTGGATTTCTGGCTTGATTGCTTGATCCTTGTGTTTCACTCAGGAAAGAACCGGCCGTCGTCGTTTTTCTCTCCGTCCTGGTGTCCGAAACCCTTCCCGGTCTTCATGTCAAGCTGGTACTTGCTGGAGGACCGGAGGCTCCGAACGAAGTAGTGCGTAGGCCTAGCGCAGACTCCGCGTGGGCAAAGCACAGCGCGACGAGGTTCCCCTGGAGGGAGCAGGGTCCAGGAGGGAGCTTACTGGGAGCCACTCTGGGAGCCCCAAAAAGCTGGCAATGCCAAGATGTGGCCAGAACCAGTGGAAGTGTCCAAGATTGGAATGAGTTGATTCATGTTGATTTCCTTCGATCTCTGCCACTCTATCGCCTCGAAAAAACACCATCCGAAGTCTCCAGACCTCTTTCCTCCCACCCACCGTGACTTCCCCTTCACCGGGCGCCCGGGCATCACTGCATCCGGCAGCCTCCCAATCCATCCTTCAGGCGCCCAGGGCGCCACATCCTCGAGCCACGCCGTAAAGCGTCGGCCTGAGGGGAACACAAACTCCTCGGCCGTTCGCTGCCGCTGCGCTGGCATCGGGTCGGGCTCAGGAATCCCATCGCGTCGCCGCGGCCGCGGCGCCGCGCTGCCGGTGGACGCGAGGATCGACGTCTTTGGGTGGTCGAAGAGGTGGCGGACGGAAAAGGTAGGGCGAGAATGGGAGAAGCGGGGTGGAGGTGGTGTCAAAGCATAGAGAGTCGAAGTGGGGGCTGTGGACTTTGGACTTCGGGCAATTTGAGAATGAACTTGAAATCTTAAAATCAAGGTATAGTTATTATGCGTTCTAGTGCTATCATGGGTCGATGCTGCGTGGTCTTGTTGCAGGCTACGACTCGTGAGCTGAAGCCCCCTCCCCCACCCTACCTACCCAACGCGGGTTGCGGCTGGGGGCACAACGTCCAAATAAGGATGAATAAGGTGAGTGGTGTGAGTCCGTTCATAGTGGGTGACTTTCATCCCCCAAAACATGAACACTCGATCTGCAGATGCTGCCGGCGGTCCATCATCGAGTTCGAGACATTGGTCCAGAACTTCCTTGGCAGGGCAGTGGAGTCACAAGGAAGATTGAATCTTGAATCATAATTTATCATTATCCAGGAAATTCAAAAAGATTCAAACAGAATAATTTCACTTTTGCAGGGAGACATACTGTTTGCACAGGATAAATGGTCAAACCCAAACAGGACCCGATGTCTGCTGTGCGCGAGCACGCGAGCACCGAGGCTCGGACCTACCCCCCCAACATCTTTGAGCTAATAAACGCTCAATCATCAATCCTTCTTGAAGGTGCTTTGGTAGTGTTGATCCTGGTCGATCATCCCAACCTCCGTTTCTTCATGGTTGCTTTTCACCACCACGTTTCTTCAGCTCAAGGCACCCGATGGGCAAAATCCACGAATTCTTCGCATGGTCGCCTTTGGTCAGCCTCGTGGCCAAGTCGTCCCCACGCTGCATGGTGACCTGGTCGGTGCTCGACCGGGCCATTGAACGACGCGGCCACGGACGCGTGGAACGACGCGGCCACGCGATCCATTGCGACCCGGAAAGAGGTTGATTCAATTAGAGAAGGCCTGGGGACTAGGATGAGCTGCACGAACGCCCCAGCAACAAAAAAAGGGCTCTTCAGCTCCTTGAAAAAGCCACAGGTCTTCAAAGAGGTCCTTGATCTTGGCAAGGCACGTGTCCCTATTCGTCCCTGCACCAATCCCCTTCTACTTCTTCTAGACTCAATCATCGTCGTTATCCCCTTACTTGGTGGATTGCAGGGACACTTCACTTCTGCCTGGGCCCGACCCTGCTGGAAAAACAGTCGTGCCCACCTTGGCTGGATCCAAGAAGACCTGCAACAGATCTCCAGTCTCCAGAACCAGTCAAATTGGGAAAAAAGCATCATGAACATGTTCGTGCTCTACTGTTGCTGTCGCCGTCGTCGCCGTCAAGCTTATGCAAATCACTCATAAGTTAGATTAAATTGGTTGAGGCAAATTGAACCAATCACCATCAATCAACTTCACCTCATCTGATGTTCTCCATCTCTGGGGTTCTCCATCCCCTCAAAGCATCGACGTTTCGCTTCGCATCTCACCGCTCCTGCTCGGTCTCGACGCGGCCATGTTCACCGACCAGGAGCGCTGCATAGACCTGGTTCGGGCGCAGCTGAGCAGAAGCTGATGTGTGAAGTACATGACTGGAGGCCATGACTGGAGGCCATCACTAGGGCCATGACTGGGGCCACGAGGAGCCGAAGATCTGGAACTTTCGTTTGGAATTCAGACAACGCTGCAGAGCTTTCATCATGAAAGTAAAGACAACTGCAGCGTTGAAGAGAGCCTTGGGGAATTCAGGCCTCCCCTCACTGGAGAACAGTGTTGAACATCCATCATGGTCAATCACATGTGGGGGCCCAGGGGACATGGCTTGAAAAAAGACCCAAGAAGCACTCATGCTGTCTCCCACATGGTCACCCTCAGAAGCACTCATCTCAAGATATCTCTATCGCGTGACCTTGTTTTTTCGTGTGTTTGCTCTGCGGAAGATCATGGAAGATCCTTTCTTCGTCTTTCCCCACTCATCCCCGCTCACAACGAACGAGCACACCGTCCCCTTCGGCTTTGATGGTCCATCGCCGCCTGTGCCCAGGTCTCTTCGGTTTGAAAAGAGCCCAGGATGAGCGTGAGTGTTCCTGGGTGGGGATGGTGAGATGCCTATGGGTCCGCTCCTGACCTCCCCACCTTGGGGGAGGGTCCGTGGCGAAGACGAACAGCAGCTGAGTGTTTGGCCCATGTGCCTTTTTTCTTTTTGGTTCTCTCATGTGGGAAACACATCATTTCATATCATTTCCTCAAGCCATGAATCACACGAGGCCATGAAACACACCATCTATTTTCAAGCCATGTACATGTATGAATCTTGGCCCAAAACATGTGCCGTTTTGAAGAGATGCTCTTGAGCTTTTTGTTTTGCACCTGAGGTTTTTGAGCTTGCCACGCTCTCATCCCCCACACACGGAAGAAAAACATCCACCACTGCCCAAGTATCGTTGCTGCTCCAAATCGGTGATACGCGTGCACCAGCCGTTAAACCATGGGCCGTTACCAGCGGCGCACAGATAACCTGGGCGAATGCCGCGGTTGAGGTCCACGGATCGTTTCCAAGTTCTTTCGAGTGTGCGCCAAGCATAGTTGGCCAAAGAAATACTGCCACCACGGTCACCAAACCACAGGAAGATGCCAGAGCCTCATGAAACATTGATCAACTTCTAAGAGCATTCCAAACTCCATTTGGGGAGTCAATTTTTCCTGATCCTCCTCGCCCCATCGAGCGGTTTTCGTTGCCGTCTCGTCCTCGTGGAAGTTGAGGCACGTTGCAAAAGAAGGAAGAGGATCCCAACCTCAGAAGGCAATTCTCGAACCATGCAATGGATTTCCGAAACGTGTCTGGATTTGTCGAGAGTCATCCCAAGTACTCCCCCGGCGCGGTTTTTTGAGTGGGCACCAAGAAAGCCGGAAGGGGCCGTTGGCCAGCCAGTGGGTCATTGTCATGGACACGAAAGGATAATAACCAGGAGACTCCCCGATTGATGGGGAATGAACAGCCAAATGCATTCAATTAACCATATTCACTAATCCATCTCTCTGAAGCAAGCATTTTCAAGGGTCATTTTCACGCTGCTCCTGGTCGCTAGTGACCTCAACAACTCTGCGAAGGAGCCCCGGATGGTCGCCGTTCACACCAAGTGGCTGCCAACATCACTCGTGTCTGATGGTATCGACCACCGACTTTCATGGCAAATCGAAGTGCGCGATCTCGGGCGCCCAAATGCGTCGCCCAGATGCTCAGCTCATTTGAGAAGCATGGTCTGATGACGTCTGACGTCTGAGAAATGATCAACCGGCATGGTGGACATGTCGAGATGACTTGAGTCCGAGTCCTCAAGAATAGAATCTGATCGGCTTCATCAGCCGCATGACACCGCCGCGTGACACCAATTTATAACACTCGAATTTGGACCACCGGCGACCGCTGCATATGGAAGATGTCAACACATGGGTCTACTATGGTCAAGTATGACTGCCATGCTGAACTGGGCAGGCGCACCGAGATGTTTTTCTGGTCATGTTGAGGTTCATACAAAGCTTCCTTTTGCGGAGCTCAACACAAGCTAAGAATGCGATCCATGTCATGCGACCTCTTCTGGTTTTGCTTGTTTTGCTCCTCATGTTCTGGGCTGTTCTCTCTTCAGCCTGAAAATCTGCGGCAGGAACCTGGCCCATGTCAGCGAAAGGAACATCCTGAAGGGTGCCACATGGCGGAGAGCGGTGGAGCAGCATGAAGGTACAGCCTCCACTCATTTCATCTCATTTTTCCGCAGAAAATGGGGCATGGCCGTGTGGTTGGCGCAGCCCGGGTTCAAGAGGAACATCAACGCATGTCAGATCATGTCAGTCATGGTTCAATCATTCAATCTGCCACTTGATTAGGTTTGTTCTGGGATCCATGGCTCGTTTGAACGATGCTTAGAATCGCTTTCGCAACTCTACAGGTGTTGGGATGGCCTTTCAAGGTAGAAGCACGAGCCGTACCAGGGGCCTCTTGCACTTTCCTTCCCTTTTCTCCGACAGGTTCGCCGCCTGCAGCATGCAGATGCATGCAGATGATGCAAATGCATGCAGCATCACGGTACAGCCTGGTAACCAGCCCGTGGCAGGCTAGCCAAACAAACTGTCGCAAGCCTGGCGTGAAGAGCTTGGCTTCCTCTCACCAGGGTCTCAATCCCCGTGTCTCACCGTCCACTCGGTCGACCTGCTTCGCTGCATCGCGCGCCGCGCTTTAAGCGTCACCGTGGACCTTCTGGTCACTTGAGCCACCGCGTCACGGAGAGATGTGGCTGGGGGGTCAAGACCCGGAACCCTAAACATCCCTAAACATCCCTAAACCAGGGTAGCTTGATGTAGGTTGACCTAGGGAATTATTCTGTTCTTCGGGAAAACCCAGGTGTCCCGGCTTCGACTAAACCATGTCTGTTGTCCGAGAGTCTGGTCTTCGTGTTTGCCCAAATTGTGCTGCACACTTTCAACAGCCTCCAGCCATCTCGTCAGATCATTGCTTGGAGCACCGATCATGATGGAACCGCGGACCGTGGATGCTAAAACTTCTCCTTGCAACCACAGACTCCCAGAAGTGATGGAAAAGCTCGCCACATCCACACCCGAGTCCATCCGACTCCATTCTGCAGACCCGCCCGTCCATCCGACTTCACCCGTCAGTCCGCGCGGGTGCGCGTACCAACAGTCAGTCCGCGCGTGAAGCCGCCACTCTCCCGCGGCATGTTCTTTTTCCTTTCAAGACGTCACGATGAGGGCGGTTTCTCGGTCTCCGGTCCCTGGGTCTCCTCTAAAAGCCGCTGCCAGACCCTGAGCCGACGTTTGGGCCGGCAGACGTGCAGAGGAGTCGCAGTGAATCCGAGGCCGTGGTGGAAGCGCCCCGTGAGGTTTCGGTGTTTTGGGCTTGCAGGATGGAATGATCTGTGGATCTGTCCAGGATGGATCAGTCAAGGGGATTGGACTTTTGGCGCTCTATTTGGAGTATGATATTTTTAGGAGCATGTTTCAAGATGCGCCATCATTTGTTCGCCACAAAGATTAATGATTTTGCATGTGATGCTACATCAACACGGCCCTAACACGGCCGGCTGTCCAGTGGCTAGCTCGTTGGTGACGCTCGGCATGTCACAGATCTTCTCTGCTCAGAACCCATCCAAGAGACCCTTTCTGGTGTTCTTGGTGTGTATACAGTTGTCCATAGTTGTCCCCAAATAGATAGCGGCACGGTTTCCAATACATTTTTAGTGGGATTTACTTTTCTATACGTTTCTATCTATTTGGGGGGTTGATATAAGCCAGGGGTTTCTTGGAGCTCTTGGCTTGTGCCCCTTCAATGGATATCGGCTATAGGCTCAATCGCTGGCACGGGATCGGCACGGGATCGGCACGGTGGCACGGGATCGGCTGCGCTGACTCGACTTCAGGCGCCCCGGCTGGTCTGGAATGGAAGCGCGCTTGCCGTACTCTCGAGGGTCGGGTGTGCCGAGGTCCTCGGTCGGACTTCAGCCGTTGGAGAGAGCCGGTGGCGAGAGCCGGAAAGCCAGGTGGCATGGGCGTTCAGTCTTTAAGCCATCCCACGGATGGCGTTTAGATGTGTTTAGTATATACAGTAGGCTATACAGTAGGTCTTCCGGCTGAAGAAGACGTTGAGCCTTTGACTAAGCCCCGTGGTGTTTACACGTGTTACTAAGAAATCGGCTTAGCATGGCTTAGCAAAATATTGGGCCTTTGTCAAGGCACCATGTGTGTACATGGAAATGATGGAAAAAGCTATCCCAGCGCATCTCAGTACAAGGTGTGGACCATGGTGGGGACCCACATCCAGTGGCGGGATTATCCTTGATTGAACGGGGTCTTGAATATGTGTTGTGCTCCTCTCCCCCTGCTTTCGTAGTGTCTTGAAGTGTCTGTTCCACTCCCTAGACACCTCCTACATCATCCTCAAACACCAGTCACCAGAAGCTCCTGCATCCTGCATCCTCCCATCACCCGTCCACCGCGAACGGGACCTCTCGGGACCGACCTCTGACGGCTCCCGGCGAACGCCGCTGGCCGCTGTCCTTCGGGTCGGCCTTCGCCTGGAGCAAGAGCCGCAGCGCCCCGACGTTGCCTCGGAGGCCATGGCTGGCCGCGGGGAGCCAGCCGTGGTGGGCCGCGGGGGGGAGCCGCGAGCGGCTCGTCGTTTTTGTTTTGTGTTTGGTTTTTGGGGTCTGGGTGGTAGCCGAAAGGACGATGGGATGTTTCTGGAGTGCAAGGGTGAAGGGGTTCAGCTTGAAATCAGAGGGGGTGCTCTGGAGGAGGGTGTTTGTTTTTGTTTTGCCGGGGGGCAAAGGAATCGCAGATTAATCATCGGAGGATATTGGCGGCGGATGGTGGGCATACTTTACCTGTACAGTCACTGATTGATGTGTCTTCAGAAAAGAATCCCAGGCGAATCTAGATGGAAGACAACAAAGAAGGAGGATCCTTCCTTCTTGGCTTTTTCATATTTGCCCTTCGCACTTCAGGGTGACTTTTTCACTCGGGGTCCCCTCTTTGTTTTTCTTATCTGTATCATCTTATCTATTGGTATGTTGGAAATCATTACATTTAGAAGTTACATCAAATGACATTTGTTTTCTTATTATTATGTAATACTCACCATTTATTTTACTTTGCTCTTATTATAATTCTATTTATCTTTACAGGATTTAAATTTATTGTTGGACTGGGATTTACTTATCATATACATATTCTCTTATATTTAATAGGAGATGCCACAATTTCTTTACAACCAAATCTACATCTCCATCCCACACTACTTCCCTTTCTCAGGCTCTGAGCAGGGGTCTCTTTCAGGAGTTCTCCTGGTCAACCCTCCGGCCTTCGCTTCCCCGATGTCCCGCCGCGGCCGACCCGATGACTCCGCCGAAGGCGCCCCGTAGAATGCTGGTGCACAAGGGCGTACTGCCGCTGACCAAACGCCACTCCTTCCGCGCTTCGCTGCTGCAGAGCCTGAAACGCGAGTCTGGGTGCTGGGCAGAAGAAGGTGGACGGACGCGATGACGCGTCATTGATCATGTGACTCTGGACAGGACGTTGAGATTCGGTGCCTTTGCTGGAGCTGATGAGCTGTACCATGCTGTACCCAAGAAGTTTTGGCCATACCTCCAAAGAACACCATTGCCGACTTTGGTCAGAATTGGTTCCTTTTCGAAGCACGCGCATTTGACCAACCGCTTGACCAAAGACGCGCTCCAAGTGCCTGGTGAAGATCTAAGAATCCATTATTGGTTCGTCTGTTCCCAGGGTTTTGTCTGAAAAAGGACCCGCAACCCTTCAACATCACGAACCATGATTGGGTCCAACACGACCCAGTCCAGCATGGTCTAGCACTGATGAACCGCCTTTCTTCAGGAAACATCTCAAAGATGCGTCTGAGTTGAGGCCATGAGGCCACACCACGGACCACACATCGATAGTTACAGTCATCATGTCATGTATGTCCTTATTTCGTGACAAACCACCATTTGAACCACCACACATTAGATCCAGCTTCTCAGACAGGATCTCTCTCCTGTCCTCAAACCACATGGGACATATAACCGGTTGGTGGGAAGTCCCTCCGAAGCATCAAGAACCTGCATAGAAGACCTCGCGGGGCATTCCTGGCCCTCTTCACTGGCAGCTCATACGTGCTCAAGATTGCTCAAGAGCTTATCGGGCTATCGTGTATTGCATGGCAAGACAGGTTATGAAAGTCTTGCTTGAAACGAATTGCTTATATTTGATTAACATATATATATATACATATTATAAAATATTACTAAATCGACCAAAGGCTAAGGCTCCACCGACTTCCAAAGATTCAGCGACAACCATTTTCCACAACTCTTCAATGTCATTAGCTGCGAACCTCAGATGATCACTACTCTTGAAAGCCTCGAACGCTTCGAACGCGGCAGTAGGGTCCGACGTGGAGATCTTGATGGAGCAGGATGGTGACATCAACCAGTCAAGTGAACGGCGACTGCAGAAGCTCCTCCCTCCGAAGTGCTCGCCGCTGAGAGCGATTCAGCGCAAGCAGCGGTGCTTGTCCGGTCTCCTGTGCTTGTCCTTGACGGGAAAAGAACATGCCCAAACGTGACCCAGGACGGAGGTGTCTAGGGTCTCAAATCAGTTCTGAGGGACCAAGGGCTGATTGGAGCTTCTGGGTGATTTGATATCAAAGCCAGGTTTTGCAGATTCATTGTGATTGACCCACGTCTTCAATTGTGGCCGACGGATTTGCCCTGCAGATCGAGGCCAACAACTGTCCATCAGGCAAGACAACTCGAAGACTTTGGATTTTCAAGGCATTTGCAATGCGATCCTGAGTGTCAAGAGCAAGGTCGGAACGACCTGCCTTCAAGCGCAACACTTCATCTCCAGCCAAATCCCAGCATTTCAGCACGGCTGCATCATCTTCGAAGAAGCAACCGAGCTGTAAAATATGGTCCGCAGCAAATTGTGTGTGATCGCACACGTATCGACAGCTGGGGGCTCCAAAAGTGAAGAACTCGAACCAAGACTTCAAAGACGGGATGTTACATTGTCCTTCAGCATTTTGTCCACAAGCCACTACACTCCCATCGCTTCGGAGAAGGGCTGAATAGAAACTTCCTGCCGAAATCTGGGTGTAAAACATTCCCTCATCCAAAGGTGGAATGTTGCATTGTCCGCTAGCATTCATTCCGCAAACAACTGCGCTGCCATCACTTCGTAGAAACACTGTATGAAAGGTACCTGCAGAAACCTGGGTGTAAGTCATTCCCTTGTCTAGAGGCGGAATGTTGCACTGTGGGTCGATGATTCTTCCACATGTAACAGCGCTGCCATCACTTCGGAGAAGCACAGTATGCAGAGTACCTGCAGAAGCCTGCGTGTAGGATATTCCCTCATCCAAAGGTGGAATGTTGCATTGTCCATAATCGTTCTTTCCGCAAGCAACAGCACTCCCATCACTTCGCAGAAGTACCGTATAGAACCCGCCTGCAGAAACCTGGGTGTAGAACATTCCCTCATCCAACGGTGGAATATTGCATTGTCCTTCATCATTCAGTCCGCAAGCAACCGCGCTGCCATCACTTTGGAGAAGCACATTGTGATATCTTCCTGCAGAAATCTGGGTGCAGGATAGTCCCTCCTCTAGAGGTGGAATGTTGCATTGTCCGTAGGCATTCCATCCGCAAGCAACAACAGAGCCATCACTTCGAAGAAGCACTGTATGAAGCCTTCCTGCTGAAACTTGGATGTAAGACATTCCTTGATCCAAAGGTGGAATGTTGCACTCTCCAAATGCGTTCAGTCCGCAGGCAACAGCGCTACCATCACTTCGCAGAAGGACTGTGTGAGACTCACATGCGGACACCATGAGCAAGTGGTCTCTCGACCAAGTTGGGCAAAGATCTAGGAACACAAAAGAAAGTCATCAGAATCCATCAAGGTTATAGAAGGTGAGAAGCATCTATTTATCACCCACATATTGTATAACTGTATAACCCATAATATCTCCCGGGCCGTATATCCCTACGTCAATTGCTCAAGGTCCATTTCTCTTCGTTTCTCCTCGCGCTCCGCATCGCTCCGCATCGCTCCGCATCGCTCCGCATCGCTCCGC